CAGAGACACGCACACACACACACACACACACACACACAGTGACATGCACACACACACACACACACACACACACAGACGTGCAACACACACACACACACACACACACAGAGCCGTCATCAGTGTGCTCGACAGTGCTGGCCAACAGAGAAATTCAGCCACAATAATAACTTCCATCAATAACATGAACATAATATACAGCAGTTCATTTGAGCTGATTCACTGAAACAGTGCAGAAGAATCACTCGCTCACAGTGTGTGTAAAGCTAACACTGTAAAGCTGCTTTGACACAATCGGTGTTGCATAAAGCACTATATAATTAAAGGTGACTTGACTTGTGTGAACGGACAGTTCAGATGCTCGGCGTGTGTTCTGAGGGAATGTGGGATCAGCTGGGAGGACAAAAACAGGAAGAGGAAATCACTGTTTCAGTTTCCAACCGTAATTAAAGCTCTGCAACACTGGCACAACACCTCAGCACTAACCTTAATACTGCCTTCAATGCTAATGCTATCCCAACGCTAATTATAACCCAATGCTAATACTAACTCAACGCTAAAGCTAAGCCAACGCTAATACTAACGCAATGCTAACGCTAACTCAACATTAACACCAACCTAACGTTAAACCAATGCTAATACTAACTCAACGCTAATACAAACCCAGTGCTAATATTAACTCAATGCTAATACTAACTCAACGGTATTGCTAAGCCAACGCTAATACTAACTCAATGCTAACCCGATGCTAATGCTAACCCAACATTAACACCAACCTAATGCTAACCCAATGCTAATACTAACTCAACGCTAATGGCAACCCAACACTAATATTAACTCAATGCTAATGCTACCCCAACGCTAATACTAACTCAATGCTAATGGTAACCCAACGTTAATGCTAACCCAACGCGAATACTAACTCAATGCTAATGCTACCCCAACGCTAATACTAACTCAATGCTAATGGTAACCCAACGTTAATGCTAACCCAATGCTAATAGTAGCCTTATGCTAACCCAGCACTAATACTAACTCCACGCTAATGGTGCACAGTTCTTCAGACAAATCATTTCACAGCTTTCTATGTAGATCTGCTGCACCAGACGTTTCTACTGACGTGTTTCGTGTAGCATTGATGTTGATGTTTTTTGCCTTTTTTATTGTTGATAGTACAGTTCAAAAGAGACACAGGGAACTATGGGAGAGAAGAGAGGGCAACAGGATCGCGAAAAGACCCGCGAGTCGAACTCAAGCTACTGCACCGTGTGCCACATACGGCCCACAAAGCTTCGTGCCCAATCACAGACATCGAGTGTAAAAATGCCACAGCCAATCAGAGGTGTCTTAATTACACTGTTCTGGAGTTCATTGGCTCATAAAGCATGGCTGTGAATGAACTGTAAGCCTAGCACGCGGCTGAATTGTAGGTAGCTTCCATTTTTTTTCTCATTTTGTCTCTCATAGTTGAGGTATACCTATGATGAAAATTACAGGCCTCTCTCATCTTTTTAAGTGGGAGAACTTGCACAATTGGTGGCTGACTAAATACTTTTTTGCCCCACTGTATCTGGTGCCGCCACTGTGCAGTCATTGAGTTTGGGTTTTTAGGGCACTTTGTGACGCCCGCCTGACAAACCCCAGACTCCATGTGTTCCTGAGATTCTACACATTACAGGCCCTTCAAATCATTCTGACGCGTCTGTGGAAATACAGCAGATTCACAGAGCGATAATTCACATATTCTCACGGGAGCTCCAGAAATCTCAGGATACAGGAGTCGGGTTAGATTCACTCAACCTTCCTAAAATTAGCTTGAAGAATTAATTTGCGATAATGAAACTCCCAATATAGAACACACACTCACACACACACACACACACACACACACACAGACACACACACACACTCACAATGAGCAGGAAGCCTGATAATCTGCAGGTTCACACTCACTGTTTGGTGTACTTACTACAGAAACCTTCCAAACCAGCATAATGTATGAACACAGAGTATGAGTGATGAAGAGCCGGTACCTGCAGCTGATCTTCATAGAGCTTCATTGGTCCAAACTGCACCTCTGTTAATGTGCTCTGAAACGACAGTCAAGAACAAACACACTCAGTGATCTGAACGACACACAGCATGATCTGTGGAAGTACATTCAGACATGATTCCAGCATCCTCCCTGATGATGCTCAGTTACCATGGAGACCATCCCTCCACGGGACAGCATCCCAAAAGATCATCACCATCTGGACAACATGAGGAAGGGAACGGAAACACACACACACTGCAGACACACACACACACACACTAATACACGAGTTTCACAATTTGAGTTGAATTACTGAAATAAATGAACTTTTCCACGACATTCTAATTTATTGAGATGCACCTGTATTTATATATAGATATATAAAGAACAAAAGCATTCAAGCTCAAGTAGAGCAAACTGAACAACTTAAGCAGACCGTGCCAATTACAGTACAGAACGCACATACACTGCACAATACTCAACACTTCCAAAACACCTTATGAATAGAAACCTTCGACTCTCTACAAAAAACGCTCACACAGATACACATAGGAGTGTTTGAAAACATAGTCATGAGAAGAAAATGGGGAGTGAAATTGTTTTACTGTCTAAGCAAATCTTTCAACATACTCAAATATTTACAATAAACACATTTCATATCATCAACCACTCAACAAACACAAGTCAGTCACACGTCCGTCAGCAGACGAGACGCTGAAACCATCTGAGGCTCGCTGGGCTTCAACACAACTTAAACACTCCTGCTCAGATTCACAGTCTGAGTGAAACAGATTCATATTTTTATTACAAAGAGCGTTATCTATTTGACTAAAGGAACGCAAATGTTCAGATGTTTTCGTGTGGTTGCGATCAGGTGCACAAACTAGCATGAAGAACTAACACTATCATGAATCTGAAAATCATCAGAATGACTTTCATAAAGAAATTCATTCATAAAGGAGTGTGTCGATTAGACACGACTGACAGAATCAAATCAGCTGTGAATTCATTACATAACACACACACTTACAGTGAAGTTAAACAAAGACCTGTGTGTGTGTTAGAGTGTGTGTGTGTGTGTGTGTGTCCTGCTCATGGACAGTGACACTGTGGCCTCGTTTCCACTGGATAATGAGATTAGTAAACCGCCATCAGCTCGCACACATCTCACGCAAACGCTCCATCTGAAGCTCGTCTGATAGGAAGAACTTCCTTTGTGAACTTTTAACTGCTGTCATTCAGCTGCTGCAATGCTATTGGCTGAGCTGATGCTTAGCCCCGCCCCCCTCTCTCCAGTGCAAACATTAGCAGAGACCGAGCTAAACGAGCTCCACTACATTCATTCACGCTTTTATCCAGACTGACTCTGACCAGTGATTTCTTCAGGCAATGAGCTCATGACAGGAGCTGCGTCCTGCAGCCGGTTAGTTGGTTGGTCAGTTAGTACAACAAACAAAGTGTAACGGTGAGCAGCAGGTCTGCAGCGAGCTGCTCAATCGCTGTCAAACCCTGAAGCAGCACACGCATCTCACAGGTCCTCACTTATCTACCAGACAGATCCATGTGAAACTGCACACACTCAGTGACACGGACATACACACACTGCATCCTGTCTGCTCACTGCACGCACACACACACACACACACACACTGCAGCAGTGGCTTTCCACTGAAGTGAATAACAGGAAAGTGGATGACATTGTTGAGAGGGCAGACGTCAGTGTGAGAGATATAGAGGGCAAACCGCTTCCTCATGGCTCACTTCAGGGAGCAGCGCTGGGGACGAGACACACACACACACACACACACACACACACTCACAGACACTCACTCACAGACACTCACTCACACTCTCACACACTCACTCACTCACACTCAATCACTAACTCACACTCTCACACACACAGACACTCGCTCACTCACACACACACACACACACTCTCACACACACAGACACTCACTCACTCACACACACACACACACACACACACACACTCACACACACACACACACTCTCTCACACACACACACACTCACACACACACACTCTCACACACACACACACACACACACTCACACACACACACACACTCTCTCACACACACACACACTCACACACACACACTCTCACACACACACACACACACACACTCACACACACACACACACACTCTCACACACACAGACACTCACTCACACACACTCTCACACACACAGACACTCACTCACTCACACACACTCACTCACTCACACACACACACACTCACTCATTCACACTTACACTCACACACACACACACACTCTCACACACACACACACTCACTCACTCACTCACACACACACACACTCACTCACACACACTAGGTACCAAGAGCCACTCACACCTCAGGCGTCTCCTGACAGTCATTTGTGGAAAAAAATGTCTTCTGTACCGCAGGGAACAACATGACGGCAAACAACATCTGATAACTCAACAGAGTTTACCAACATAACCAGACTAAACGAGCTCAGAGACAGAAACACTGCACCGGGGTTTGTTTGGCTTGTTTACAGGTACCGTCACTTAGTTACTCCAGGTCAGTTTAAGGTTTGGGTTAGTTAGGCTAAAATACAGGTTTAATCGTTAGAGTTTGGGTTAACTATAGTTGGTTGCATTACATGTTTAGGCTGAGCTCATTGAACACAAACGGCCTGTCCTGTTCACTCGTGAGCATTACTGTGCAGCTGAAGGGACACACACACACACACACGGGACACAGACACACACACACACACACACGGGACACAGACACACACACACACACACACGCACATACACACACACACACACACACACACACACAGGAAACATGACATCAGAAAGACGCAGCAACAGCTGCAAGACACAAGAGACTTTAGAGACGCTTAAACACAAGTCTCTGTGTGTGTGTGTGTGTGTGTGTGTGTGTGTGTGTGAGAGAGAGAGAGAGTGTGTGTGTAAGAAAATTATGCCTGAAAACAGAGTATGAGTGAATGTGTGTGAGCGCAGTGATGAAGGTCTTCCTCCTCCTCAGGCCTCAGTCATTCAGTGAACGCTCGCTCTCGCTCTCTCTCTCTCTCCAGGTATTTTTGTCCTGATCCAGATTAGCACTCAATCCTGCTAAGGATCACACACAAACTCTGAACGAGCACATGAGCGGCTGATTCTCTGTGAACACAGAGACAAACAGAGTAAAGCAGACAGAAGAGACACGATCGGTCAAAGCAAACCCTGTGCAAGCGTGCAGCGATACCGTGAGATCGACAGTAGGACGATATGGACTGAAATATGACGCATGTTCAGAGACACACTACACACACCCAAAATAAAAGCTCCGTTTAACCTGAAGCAATTATGATGGAAATAAATTACTGTTTTAAAATTTCTAAAGCATTAACAATAATAATTCATTAAAAAATAATAAGGGAATTTCACACAATCAAGAGATTTTGTTCATCTGCACTGTATTTGGCGCACTGTTATAAAGGACTTTGAGTAGTACTTTATTTTAGTCCTGTGCGGCATGTACATACTATACTGTACTCATAATAATTACAATAACTGGGTAATAACTAGGTACTGAACCTGAACCTACCCCTAAATCTAACCTTAACCCATGCACTTACCTTATATTACCGTACTTCATTAGGTAAGTACACTGTAAGTACATGTAAGTGCACTGACTGTTAAACAAAGTGCAACCTGAATCTGTTATGAAGGAATCATCATATTTTAACTTGATTAGACATGCTTTTTTGATTATTAAAGTTCTATTAAAGTATTAAAATGGAATTACAATGGAAAACACAGAATTTAGAAAAAAAAATACAATGGGATTTTGGGGAAATATAATATATTATATTATAATGATACTCAGGAAACAAACAGATGCGGACACAAACAGCAGCAGCGCAACTGTGCGGCGTCTGACTACAGCAAGCACACACGTGTGTGAGCCACAGGGGCTGCTGGGAACGATGATGATGATGATGTCATTTCCCTTCAGGAAGAAGAGTTACTGCACACTGACAGCTCGGCTCGTCCCTGTGCTGCGTTACTTCCTGTCTGAGCCGTTCAGATCCGCACAAACAAGACGTCAGTCACACACACACACACACACCTGTCAATCATCAGATGACTAACACACACACACACACACACACACACACACACACACAGAGGGGCTTCACACTGACATCTACTGAGACGAGAGTCAAACACAAACCAACAACTGCATGTTCACAATGAAATACACGTACAGATCAAGACAAATTTGACTTTCAATCATCCAAAAACTTTGTCCCTTAAGTAACACACTCACACACACACACACACACACACACACACACACTCTGGCTGGATCCGGTATTGAGGGTTACAAACGCAGAACAGTGGAGCCTCAGCCAAGGCCAGATAAACCACTAACCCTATATCAGCACCACACACACACACACACACAAAGAGGAATGTGTTGAGAGACATGAGAAAACCATCGTCAGACCTTGTACTTGAGTCTTATCATGGACAGAAAGTCACACAGATGCTGCTGCGCCCTTGATTAACACACACACACTGCCATCAGAACAGCTGATTGATGAAAGAGTAAATTAATCAGCAGCAGCATCTGTGTGTGTTAAAGCACAGTAAATCACACACACACAAACACTCACACACACACACACCACACACACACACACACACACACACACACACACACACAGCCTGCATGAACCTGCAGAACAACATTCGTCTGCTCATTTCCCCCGTGAGAGTCCTGTGAGCATCACCATCATTATCGCTATTATTAGTACAAAAAAACTCTGCAACCTAAATGACCAGAAATGTATCATATTCTTTGTTTCAAATGACAAGGAACAGAGAATTTTCCTTCTAAACATGTATTTGAATCAGAAACTGAAATTGTTTTGGAAAATTCTGATATTAGAATAGAACTTGGGGCTAGGCGATATTGTTAAAAAATGTATCAACGATATAATGTTTCATATCATTCGGTATCGATAATTACCGTATTGGCCCCAATATAAGACGACCCCCATTTTTCAGATGTACCTTTTGGAAAAAGGCTTTTTAAAAACCAAATCTTGTTTTTTCTCAGTAAAACACATTTTGTCTTCAATTATTTTCATATTGCATATTTTTCCTATTTTAATTTTTGTTTTGAAAGTATGGTTAAAAACTGGTCAAATGTACCAACAATCACATTTTAAAAATATACACTTTTTGATATACCATTAAAAAAAGAAAAACATGAATTAGGACATTTAGGCTATCCATCTAATAGTAGCCTACCAAAATCTTATTTAGTTAAATCTTACTGTAGTCTTCAAATCTGTGTGCTGTCTTACGTTTTAAAATCACAGGGAGTTTGGTCGCATCAGGCTAACGTAACAGTCACGACTCATGCAGCTGTAAGCTTTTCTTTCTCTTTTGTTTCTACTCGCGATCTTTACATCACGCATTACATTACATATTTCATGGCACACTCGTTTTATGAGTATTTGGCGCCACCTATCTCCCGAGGCCACAGGAGGACGCAATAAGGAATATAATGCAGCACATTAAAGAGGTCATATGATGTGATTTCAAGTTGTTCTTTCTCTTTGGAGTGTTACAAGCTGATTGTGCATAGATAAGATCCCTGAAGTTGCAAAGACTAAAGTCTCAAAACCAAAGAGATATTCTTTATCAAAGTTAAGACTCTGCCACGCCCCCCTAAAACGCCTCGTTCTAACACGCCCCCACAT